CCCTATACTCCGACTATATACTGTATAGCTGCTGTAGTTTTCCCAAATCCCAAGTGAAGCAGTGATTATAGCTCTGGTACACCCAAACATCAGCCTAGACTTGATGAAGGGTACCAGATGGCCCACTTTTATACACAACAAGGAAAAAACACACCCAGAACACTCCCTCAACACACCTCTTATTTTCTGTGTCAGAATGACTAAGCATAAAACCTAAAAATGCCCCAAAACTTTATTAAAATATATAACAGGGTGGAGCCTAACCGCCGAGCTGGAAGGACGTGTTGAACATCAGCTCCTGACTGAACGCGACAAAAACAAGGGTAAATATGATGAAAATCGGCCCGTCCACAGCCGGAGGGCATGAGACGAAGTGTGGACACCCAATGAAACCAAATGAAACCAGCCCGGGAACCCACAAAAAGCGCTGGAGGCCTACCAGCGAACGAGCCGGGGTGAGGCGGCCGCTCTCCTCGATGACAAAGCCACGCATAGAACCCTCGGTGCACCCGCCTCTCCCCCGCCCCAGTCCACACTAGACACCGGGGCTGCCAGCTGCTCACTGTTAATAGACATGTCACAATGGTGGGTCCTGTAATTACAATATAGCACAAGTCGGCAGAACGAGTTATACAATGTATTGAGTTTATTAATGTGGATTTGTAGCCTGTACCAATACCTCAAAGAGACAGCTCCTCACATGGCAAGACCAAGATGGCAGCTGGAGACACACATTGAGCACACAAGCTAAGATGGCGAACAGAGTACCTACAGAAACTACTGAAGGCCCACAGGAGTAGCTTGAAAAACGGCTAGACAAGCTCTTTCGTGCCTTCTGGCTGAAGATTGAACACAGACAGGCTCGGATTGCAGAGGAAAGCAGAGAAGAAGGAGCACGGAGGTACCAGCCTTCCGAAATTCAGCACTCCTCAAACTGCTCAGTGTCTCCTGGGAGGAAAGCCCGCCAAACCATGGCCCTTCCACGTCCTGAGAAACACAACACCCGCTCCTGCATGTCTAAACGGAAGGCACCCCGGATACAGGCTACACGCTGCCGGCGGGACCAACCTCGCTCTCAAACCAGGCATACTGCCAGCCGGGACATCACTCGCAGAACCAAGCGGGACCGGAGTGCTAGGAACTGCAAAGGTGCCCGCGCAGAGGCCTGGGGCCAATGTTTTGGCATGATCTGGACTTCCCTGCTGTATCTCACTTCACGCCTGCCGACAGTGGGGATAGGCTGATAGTTCAACTTCATCACCAAACGGGCTAGACTGGGACACAAGCCTAACTTACACGGTTCCACACTATAAAAATTTGGGTGTATTGTATCCGAGCTTACACGTGCATAACGTTAGTTCTCTATGCTGATAATATACACACATGCTAGTGCTCAGACATACTAAGTTAGCTCCAAAATCATTAACCCGAACCATGAGTAGTTACACTTATGTTGACTAGGGCTAACCCACCCGGTATTATCTAACCTACCCAAAAAAGCAAACAGCAACATCATGCTGAGACGCGAGGGATGTATAACATGACTATTAGTTCATCTATGTACCGTCCACTTACATAATCTCCATGTATGATGCCTGCAGCTTATTGCATTTAAATCCCCTGCTATGTCCCCCATGTGAACATAAATGTTTTAGCCGGTACTAACTTGAGGCAATACGCTCTCACCCACATGCATATTTAAGTACTTGACAGTACCTAACTGATATGTTAAGCCTGTTCCTACTAACCTGTTAAAATGTGTAAACACTCGTGCCAATGTTAACCTTTTTTTTTATATATGATTACGCTGTTGTGGAGCTTGATATGACTTAACCCCTTAAGACCAGAGGGCATACTATTACGCCCTATTTTAGGTGGCTCTAAACACCGCCGGGCGTAATAGTACGCCCTCCTTTTTTTCTTACTTACCCAGTCGCCGGCGATCTCACGCCGGTGATCGCGGTTGGGGGGACTCCCAGGGAGCCCCCCGTGGCGGATCCTCCGTCCTGCAGCTCCCCCCCAGCCATATGAGAGTGAGGTCCTTGCAACTTTTGGAAAGTCATAAATAAATTACAAACTCCCCCAATCCACTCCCAGCCCTCCACTGTCAAAATGGATAACCAAACCCTGCAGCTTCCCTTAGATGAAGCAAATGCTTTTAATTATTTTGTCGGATGCTTCACTACCCTGATTGCCAAGCTAATAAATGTCACGCATCCTGAAACTACAAATGTGGATCAGGCCCCACTAAATTTGCAAAGACCCAATATAGACAAGTAAATTTTTAGACTTGTACCTATTAGTGTCATTAAGAAACACCTTAATAATCTAAAAATGAAAAACCAGCCTGGACCTGATCAAATCCCAGCAATGCTGTTGAAGCTCAGTGCGCTGGCAATTGCTAAACCCGTCACAACCCTTATTAACGAATCCTTGGTGTCTGGATACATACCCAAACTTTGTAAGACTGCAAGAGTAGTGCCTATCCATAAAAGTGGTGACACTACTTTGGTTTCTAACAATCGCCCAACATCATTGCTCTCAGTATTGTCAAAAATCTTATAAAAATGTGTCCATATGCAACTATGTATTACCAACATTCTAACTATCTGAGCCCTGATCAATCGGGTTTTTGCCGAATAACTCCACTACAACTGCCCTCTTAAAAGTTTGCAATGACATCCAAACTGGCATGGAACAAGAAGACCTAACTGGATCTATTTTCCTTGATTTTGCAAAGGCCTTTGACACAGTAGACCACGACATTCTACTGCACAAACTCAAAAACTCAGGTATTGATGATTGTCCGCTAACCTGGTTTCGATCATATGTATCGGATCGCTCGCAATATGTGTCCATTTCTGACAGGGACTCCCTCCCTCTCCCAGACACTTGTGGTGTTCCCCAGAGTTCCATTCTCGGCACCCTACTATTCATATTATTTATAAATGATCTGCAAATTCTCAAATGTACACATGCACGCAGACGACACAGCAATCTATGCAAGCAAATCCAATCTATTGCAGCTTTAGGCTGTGCCCCTAGACCAGTTCACAGAGGTAGAAAAGTGGATCACAAAAAACAAACTCTTCCTAAACACTGACAAAACTGTCACAATGATCTCTGGGACAGTACCTAAATGACACAAATTACACAATTCCCATCTATCTATCAAAACAAAATCAAATAGTACACTGACCGCAGTCCACTCTTTCAAATACCTGGGTATGCTGTTAGACCCCAATCTATCTTTTGGCCTCCACATAGAAAAACTTGCATCTAAACTTTATGCAAAACTAGGTGCCCTGTACAGAAACAAATCCTGCCTAAGCCCTACAGTAAAAAAAAAAAAAGATTGTACAGCAAATGCTGATGCCAATCATTGATTATGGGGATGTAGTATATGCACCTGAACCGCAAATCCACATTAATAAACTCAATACATTGTATAACTCGTTCTGCCGACTTGTGCTATATTGTAATTACAGGACCCACCATTGTGACATGCTAAAAGAACAAAACTGGCTGTCGCTGGAATCCAGAAGCACCCTTCTTCTTTCCAGCCTTGCGTATAAGAGCTTTTCTGGGAAGCTCCCTCCCTACCTGAGCAGAATGCTCTCCCCGGCTGTTCCCACCTCCTATAACATCCGATCCAGTACCAGCAATTTATTTAGTCTACCTCAATACAAAAAGAAAGCAGCCCCATCCTCCTTTTTCTACAGAACACAGCAATTATGGAATGACCTCCCGCACACTTTCAAATATTCCCCAAGCCTAAAGTCCTTTAAGAAATCCCTCTCTATATACCTCAAAACAGAATGCACCTGTCATGGTTGATTACATATTTCCTACCTGTTGTATGTTAAATTTTGTATATGTTGTGTATTAATATTGTTTTTGTATTTTATTGGACCCTACTGTATCAATGCAATGTTTTGTGGACCCAGGACATACTTGAAAACGAGAGAAATCTCAATGTATCTTTCCTGGTAAAATATTTTATAAATAAATGTGTATATTTATGTAATCTTCATACATAATGATGTGATTTTATTCATTGCAATCTGAGGGACCTGCCTGACAACCAAGGCAGAAAGTGAAGAATTTAATTTGCATGCCCTATATTTAACCCTGTAACTTTCAAAACACCATAAAACCCGTACATGGGAAGTACTGTTTTACGCGGCAGACTTTGCTGAAAACAAATGATTGTTTTAAAACAGTAAAACGTATCACAAAACAAATATGAACGTTAACTTTGGCCAGTGACAAAGTGGCTACTAGAAAAGACTGGACATACCCCATTTTGAATACCCTGGGCTTTCTACTTTTGCAAATGCTATGCCATGAAGTGGGTAATGCTCAATCCTGGGCTTCTATATGGTCTCAAAGGCAACATAAACAATCTAGGCAAATTTCAATGTGCAACAACAGAAAAGGGCAAGTCTTATATGTGATCCTGTAACATCCCAAAGATACACAACCTGTACATGAGGGAACTGTTGTACACAAGACATTACTCAACACAAATATGTGTGTTTTAGAGCAATGAAACTGATACTGACTCAATGGCAACATAACCAATCTGGCAAATTTCAATGTGTAATAACTGGAAAGGGAAAGCCCTATATTTGATCCAAAAATCCAGAAAACCTGTACATGTGGGGTACTATTGAACATGTGAACAAAAATATGTGTTTTATTGCAGTAAAAGCTAACAGTATTAAATTATATTTCATATATAAATATGTGATGTGAAATGAAAGCCCTGTTTCTTCTGAACAAAATGATCTATAATAAGTCTGTGTGCACTTAATATAAAAGAGGTGAATTCTGCGTGAACAGAGATATAGCTCACATTCTGTACCTCTTCTGTCACTAAAACACATTATGTGTGAAGCTATAATGTACCTTAATACATAGAATATGGTTGGTTATTGTGAGAAGAGAAAAAAATAGAAAATAATAGTGTAGAAGATAAACAAGAATTGTGTATTCCAACTGATGTTATACACTCACAAGGAAAGAGCCATTAGGTCTCTTGACTTTAGTGTATACAGACAATCCTCACTTATCGACGTGGTTCCGTTCTTACGACCCAGTCGTAAAAAGAATTGGTTGGTAAGTGAGCATGCGCAAGAGATCAGGTCTACTTTTGGGGGAGATCCACAACCATCATGCACAGCATGAGGATGTCCAGCGTCAGGCGACCAAAAGTCGCCTAACGATCCTCTAGTCCCTCTAATGCCTTTCTAGACAGCCAGTAGAGGAGGAGTTAACCAATAAAGGTAATTATTGCAATTTATTTAAAAAAAAAAAAAAAGCAATAATTACCTTTCCAGGGTTAAGGGTGTTGGTACACTGCACCCAGACTACTTCAATGAGCTGAAGTGGCCTGGGTACCTATAGTGACCCTTTACGGGGTTAATGGACTGTCCCAACCCTATTAAGTATCATTGCTGTACTATTTATAACCCTAAACACCATTAATCCAACTAGCCTAATTTTAGTAGCTACTTCAAATGTAAAAATTGTCACTATGCATAGGTGTAATTTTCATCATTCTTGGCCGAGAATATCTTTTGGGACGGAGGTCTTGACCAGCATATCAGGAAGTGAGCAAAAAGCATATATAGAAAATGTGTATTATTTTAGATCTATGGCTGAATTTCCACTTATTTCATAGCTGCAAATCTCAAGTTCCCATCGAACGCTCAAAACACCAGCAATACCTCACACAGCACAGAACTCATCTAGGTTACGCAGAACGCATTCGATAAATCCCTCCCACGTGTGCTTTGCCCTTCCTGTATTGTAATAAGTAGGGAGGCGCCGGCATGTTTTCTCATCATATAAATCCTAAATGCTGTGTTTCTTTATTAGGAAGTTTTCCAGGAAAGAAAATAAACCGCACACTCTATTTGTCCTATTTATTTTATCACTATAGATAGCCTTGCTAATGCGACCTTGCTGCCACACCCCTTACAATTGTGTCGAAAGCTTTACCATTAGATTGTTACATACAATATCCGGGCCAAAGACCAGATACCATGTTTACATGACTTTTTTAATTTCATTGAGTACAGGTCTAGGTTGGACCGAGCAAGTGGTTTCATGGTAGCGCGTATATGAAACAAAAGTGACATTTTGACGTGGTATCAATCTTCACTGATCGTCCCTGCGTGTTATTTTATATTTTACTTTGTACACTTGCAATATGCAGCTTTTCCGCAGTGTTCTATCT